AAATATAAAATTATGCTAAATTATTGAACTTAAAACTACTAATTTAAATGCAAAAGAATATAAAAAATCACAAACTCTTTCAGTTCAAAGTGCTAAGCCTAATTCATGTAAAGACCTTGCACTCACCACTCGATAGCTCTTAACCCTAACTATTGTGGATCAACTTCTTTCCTAAAAAAATATATCTATTTTGAGTTAATTTTTCAATATAATGATTAATATAAGTAGATATACAATACAGCATGACTTAAGCTACTATAGAAAAATAATAAAAGTCACATACATCCCATGCAGTTTTTTTCCAGATGAAAGTTTTCTAAGGCTTATAGAAAAGTGCTATTGACCAATACTAAATACAACCTCTACATAAAATGGCAGTGACTATAATATGCACCACCCACATTCATATTGAAAATGTAGAGGACAACATTTCACTTTTTTTGCTTATCATCCTATGATTTGTCAAATGTGAAATACAGCAATTGGAATAACATGGTACTGAAATTGACACCTTCAACTAGGATTGGCTAAAAGTTTTACAACTGAGGTTTAACACACCCAGATGCTGTTTTATAAAGAAAACACACTACAAAATGGTTTAGATACCAATCATAGATGGTAGGACCAGCACTGAAGTGGAAAGAAAAATTGTTTTTAAATTTTGAAAACAATTTCTTCTTAGAGGGAGCTTATTTATAGCCTCAAACATATTTTAGGATTTTTTTTTGTTATATTTCACTTTAAACTCCATTAAATAACACATTTTTGTACAAATAATTGAATGTTATGCTACTATTTGCAAACATAAAATCTGAAATCCAAAAAAGACAAGTTCTCTATAATTTTTTAAATTCACAAATGTGATTTTGCCCTCATGATAAGATAAAATGGCCATGACAGGTAACAGGTTAAAGCCTACCACACACTGAACTATTAAAAACCTACAAAGAAAAAAGTTACAAAATATTTACAAAAAAAATAAAAAAATCAACAATCCAGGTTGGAAATAAGGGGTGATTACTCCAAAAATATTCAGGGAGTTTGGACAACAGCAGTTGAAAAAAAAGTTCCCAAATCTTTTGCAAAAAAAGTGGAAACTTAAAACTAACGTTAAGTTTCAAAATCCCAGTGAATTTAAAAATGACTTCAAAGTGAATGAGAAGATAAAAATAATATTTCAATCGCTAAAAGGAACATACAGAAGAGTCAGCTATTCATTCTATCTATTATGTTAATATTGGTTTCATGTAAGCAAATGATTAAAAAGAACAAGACCAGAAAAAGTGCATGTGGCATAAAGAAGAAAACAGAAGCTACATGTGTAGTGCTACATAAATAAAAAAACAACAACAACCAAAATGTGGAGCTCTGCCTGGAACAATGAAAAATATTTTAAGTCAAGGAAAATAACTGACAGCTGAAATTCAAAAATCCCAGGTTTCTTCATTACGCTGACCTTGAGATTCTAGCAATAACAGGCCTAAGTTAGGTTTTATGTCATGTAAAGTTTGTCACAGAAATAATGTAAACTACGTTAAAAGGTTACAATGGGAAGTAGAAAAGTAGAGTATAAATAATAAGAATGGATATCTGTTATAGATAATAAGTGCTACATTAAATTTGTTTTATACAAGTTAATCAATTTGTTAAGTAGCTTATGTTTATCATAGTTTCACAAGTTTATCCAAAGAAAATTCAACTAAATTGATATCCACTTTCTGTATTGGCCAAGGACAATGATTGAAATGACTGACATACTCTATGAACCAAATCTGAACAATACAAACAAGTTGAATTATTGCATCTTCATCTTGGAAAAGCCTCAGTTTATCAGGATGGAAATACTTCACTATAAAATGAATGTGGTAACAAAAATAAAAGTTCAGGTTCATTCTAAAGAAACCAACACCTGCCACAAGAGTACCCCCCCCTCTCCACACACACACACATACAACCACCTGCAACTTGCACTTTTAAACATTTACAAAATACAACCAGCATCTATTACCTTGTGTTCTCTCCATATTTTACATTACCATCAGTGTAGAATTTGGTGAAATGTAACTCTTCAGACTATAGCATATGTATAAAGTATTTCAGTTTGTACTCTAAGCACAACAAAAGCCACACTTTTCTGTTTGTATACTTGGATAAGAATTTTTGGATTGGTTATCTGCTGCCATACAGTTCAAAATAATTTAATCCTGACTAATGTAAAAGGAACCAGTCAACTGGGACACTGACATTTGTTGCACCTTAGAAATCTACCTAATTATATTTTCCCTTAGTCTATCTTCAAAAGTTCTCTACCACAATTTTTCGTAATAGCAGGTATATTCCATTTGAATTGTCATGGTTTATAGAGCTTGATGAGCAAAAAAAAGAAATATCCTGTAATGGTACTCCTGGTACACAGGCATAGACAATCATGGACCTTTAGAAACTGCAGAAAACCTCTTTCTTATACACTGATTTGCAGACAAACCATGATAGAGTACACCTTATCAATAGGGCTCATCCAATCACCTGACATACAACATTAGAGAACAAGGTAAGAATAGTGTGTTAAAAATTACTAGTCTTACTTTTCTATTTTATGAGCTGTTCCTTTCATTCTCTGAATTAATCTTATTTCCTATCTAATAGGAGCTAAATATGTACTTCGTACTTACCAACTCTACCAGCATCCTGTAACTGAATTTTTAATAACTCCATTGGAGTTGTAATAATTATCTGACAAAAACCTGCACCCCCTCCAGCAATCATTTCTCGCTTCAGTGGTAGCCGACTAAAGAAAAAAAAACATTTTTTAATCAGTAATGTTGCATAAAATAGAATGTTTATTAAAAACAGAAATTACAATGACCTTGATGATATTCACTCATAAAAAGTCCAGTTTATAGTGTATAATACTAACAAAGTTTTAAGTTTATTAACATTAAAATAATTTTTCTTGCACAAATACATTTTATCTTAAAATCTGAAATATTAAATTACAAAATTAGCTGCTCAAATTGCAGATTGTTACATCAATAAACTTCATGCACTTTAAAACATTTATTGTTCATATTGGTAAATTAACTTTGACATACCTGGAAACAAGGAACAATAATTCTAAACTACATCACACAAGTTGGTCTTAAAAGAATGATATTACATTTGAAATAACTAGTTTATAAAACAAGAAACATTTAAATAAGGAAATCCAGCAACAGCATTGCTCTTTTCTGTTAAATTTGCTACTGTTTTATGATCATAAGTACCTAGTCCTCTAAAGCACATGAAATTAAAATAAAAGTAACTTACTTTGTTTGTTTGTTTTGAATTTCGCGCAAAGCTACACGAGGGCTATCTGCACTAACCATCCCTAATTTAACAGTGTAAGACTAGAGGGAAGGCAGCTAGTCATCTACACCCACTGCCAACTATTGGGCTACTCTTTTACCAACGAATAGTAGGATTGACCGTCACATTATAATGTCCCCACGACTGAAAGGGCGAGCATGTTTGGTGGGACAGGGAATCGAACCTGCGACCCTTAGATTGCAAGTCGAGCGCCCTAGCCACCTCCACCTGGCCATGCCGGGCCAACTTACTTTGAATTTAATGTGACATTTCTTTGAACAATAACAATCATAATGCAAATATCAATGCAAGTTCTTATGCAAACATACCCTGCTTCAGTAGCAAGATGATGGCGAAAAAAATCATTTGCTGCAAGTTTGATTGCTTTTTCAGGAGTTATCAACAGGATATTAACAGCTGAACCTGAATAAAAGACATTCATTTTCAAAATATGCTTTAAACTTGCAAAAATCTACATTCACACAAACACAAAGAATTTCAATTAAATCCACTTTACTTTAAAAAACTCTGGTTTTGCTGGATTCAAATCCTTACACTGCTGAATATACTTTAAGGTTCACAAAAGCAAGTCAAACAGAAATGCCATATAATGTCTCACTATTATAAACAATTATTTTTATAAAAAATTTTATTTTATGATGAAAATATATAGCAACAAAATTTCAGTGAATTATATAGAATGTACACATAAAGTTACACTTAACAGTTTTATTGTTGACTATCATAATTATCAAATAATTCGTAAATTTAAAAGTGCAGACTCAAAGTTCTAAATTCTAGCCCAAAAGGCACTATTTTATATAAAAAACAAGATTTGTTAGTCACCAAAGTAGTTTTCATATCAAATGTCTCACGTTTGCATCTTTAACACAAAGAATACCATTAGTACACTTAAGTACAACAGATTAGCTTAATGTAATCTAAAACATTATGGAAATATCATGCACAACATAAAAATGTGATGTATGTACATTTAGCATCTTATGTTGAGTATATTACAAGAAGCCTGCAACTGTACTTCATTAAGAACATTTTAGTCTATAATAAGAAATATCATTAATAGTGATAAAAAAAAAACTATAACCTGCAGTGATAAATTTTGTTAAACAGTGAAGAATTTGTATCCAGCACAAGATTTTTGTTAGTTCATATCTTTACACAAAAAACAACAACTAATAAGTAGTAAATTAAAAAACATCACTAACTTTGTTAGTAAAAAAAGCAGAAAAGGGATTAGTTTGAATATTGCTACATTCAATACACAAAATCATTGTGTATATATATATATATATGTAATAGAAGTGATGTGAACAGTGTTTCAGTTATATAAATAAACAGCTTTTCTTATAATTAAATCACAAACTAATGTATGTAATGTGTAAAGACTTAAAGTTAACAATACTTCAAGAATTATTGTTTGAACATCAGTAGATCCTTCCTATATTTGAAGTACAAGAATACTACCCTAAAGCAACAAAGATGAATTAACAGTTAAACAGTGCAAGAAAATGCAATATGTAAATGTACATGCACAAGAGATGAATGAAAACATGTACTCTACTATCAGGCATTTTCATTTAACAACATTATACGAAAGAGAGATAAATCCTTCAAGGGATACACAATTTAAAAATAGTTTAAGATGCAAAAAGTTTCAGTGAGACTATTTTCTTCATAGTATTGTAAAAACACTGACATACCATTAAATATTTCAGATTACACAGTTTCCTTTTTATATAAAATTTACAAATTCCTTTTTGAATATCAGGCAAGTGCCAAAACAAATAATAGATAAAAAGCAGCAAGTTTTCTCTTTATTAGGGTGTGCTATTTCTGTATTTCTTAGATCTTGAATCCTTAAAACAGCTGTGTATATTGTTCTTTTTATACTTTTTAACTGAACTACATGTATCATGCTTATAAGTCATCTATATTTAAGTAGATGAGAACCTTATAACCTATACAAGATTTTACTAATATCTGCCTCTTATGTTCTATACACTGCTGTAATAGTTAAACTTTTGTTGCTTGAAAATAAACTGAATTGGGCAGCCTGCATAAAGTATAACAAAATCTGCCAAAAAAAAGTGTAAGTACCTCTTCAGATACATTACATGTAAAAAACATTAAAACTTAAAAAAACCATATAAACAAGTCCACCTTTTAATTAATATCCTTTTCCTGACACTTATATATAGAAGTGAGCAGGGACATCAAGAAAATTAATACAAGACAGATTAGCCATTAAGAAAACTAAGCAACAGAGCTAGCATAAATGAAATAAAATGCAACTAAATATTAACCCTTTTAGATCTAAAATTATATCAATGCATGAAAGCATACATAAAACATTCAAAACAGTTACTACGAAGCAAAACTAGACTGAAATTAAGCTCACTACAAAGCAACAATTCCATTAAAAATAATACAACTTTCTCATCTACTCAAACAAACAAACAAAATCTTTAAAAAATGTAAGAAATGAACAAAAGTCCAGCCACTTAGTACTCTACTCCATTGGCACATCCTTTTCAACCTGAAAAACAGCATTATATGTTAAGTATAATTAGATAACTTAATCAAATTACAAATGTGAGTTTGAGAGCAACCATGGTACAGAGGTGGGTGATTAATTTCTTGTGGGTTTCTTGTCATCAAATTTGCCAATATATCTGTTTGTTCTTAAAAACCAAGCTACACAATGGGCTATTTGTGCCTTAGCCACCTTAGGTATCAAAATCCAATTTGTAGCATTGTATTTTTAGTGAAGTCATGTAAGAATAATCAAAGTGTTTGTTTATTTTTTAGTCATCTTGTAAGAATAATCTGTTAGCTGAACATATTCAATTAATGAGCACAACAATTAATCAATTAATTAATCAATCGAAATTACAGCATATTTAATATGGCTTTTTATAAGATAAGAAGTAGTTTTCAAATTATGTGGTTTCAGATGTTAAAGGTTTACCAATTAAAATGGAAAACCACATTTGATTTGTTAAACACATGTAGTTAAAAGCTTTCACTTGACAATCTTTAAAATCATAAAGATACAATCTTATCCTTTAATAAGGTTTTTTTTCCTACAAAAATTTAAATGTAATTATTTGTGGGGAAGATGTCTTGCATAGATATGACTATAAAAATTACTAAATATATATGAACAATGGTTACAATAATAGAGCATTTCAACTCGAAGATCCAGTTGCCACGATCATTCAGATTTTTTTAATACTGTAGAATTAATCAATTAATTTTGTTTGATAACAGCATACAAGAATACTATTCATGTAAAAAGTATCAATTAATTTACAATATTTTGTTCAAAAATATCAAATACCTGTCAATCTCAAAATACTGCATTTGCAATCTGACAAATACACCCTAATATAGGATAACTGTTGTAGCTTATCAGTTTGTAAAACAATTTCTTATAAAGAATGCAGCAACACAATATATAAATATTAAGTCTTATAGTGTATAATCCCTTGGCTATCAAAGAATTGTTTGTTGATCAGTGATTTCCAATACACAATGCGTACAGTTGAAATACAATTATACAATTTTCTTGTTGGAAAAACAAACAATATCAGTAAAGAAAGATTGAATTGAAATTATTTAGTCCTATTCCAATGCAATACCACACACATTAATTATCAAGAAATAAATATTGCAGACAATACGCGAAGGAGTTTCAATGAGATCAATTGATTCAATACTTATAAAATTATGTTTGAGCTTTTTTAAAAACTAGGCTTATTATTTTACTTCATTTCAATATTCAGTTCAGTCTAGTTTTGTTCATGCTGGCTGTTTTGAATGCTGTTCTGCATGATTATATTCATGCCTAAGTGTGTTTTTTTAAATTTGTTGGTTGGCAAACCAGATAAAATCATGTAAAACCTAAATATTAAAATAATTTTTTCTTTGAATACTAACTTTTATTTAAAAATTGCTTTTGGAATAAAAAGAGTATGGAATATAATAATTATACTAAAATTGAGCATTTTTAGATAAATATTTTAGGATAAATGTCCAACATAACTTTAGTAAATAATGCAAACTATATAAAACTAACTTTCCACCCAAATTAAAATTATTTACTGCATTTTATTTCTTTTCCCTAATATATGTATGAACTGTTCCTTCACAAATATTCTTTCAACTTTAAATAAAAAACTTGTTATAGCTCTTCATCTTAGCTTTTTACCTTCTAATCCTGATTATACTTTGTACACTAAAAATTAAATTTCTTCTAAATGTTTTTTGTCTATAAAATATAATGCTATGAAAATATTTTGTTGATCACCTTCTATATGTTCTAGTCCATAAATGTATTAAAATTAGCTTTCATATGGAAAGTAGAATTTCAATACACAGATTGCTCCTAATGACAATATATAATTTCAACACTAGGCTGATATGAAGACATACACATAAAGCATTTCACTATTTAGAAAGTTTCTGCTAATCCAAGCCTGTTAGTTTGATGTTAGAAACAACATAGACAAATTAGTTTAACACACACACACACACTATAGCCAAGGCTGTGGTAAATAAAGTTTTGGTTTCCTACTGTACTTTGGCTATTTAATATGTAACAAGATGTTCTAATATATAAGTACTCCTTTTTCAATATATCTGCCACATATCCTTGCATCTCACTTGGCTACAAAGTTAATTGTGACTTTCAACATGACCTACCAGTCAACTCAGTTTTTATACTAAGTTTCATATTAGTAATTCACTGCTACTAAGTGATTATAAATTACAATACCTATGATTGAGCATATACGACATGAATGTGCAATTGACATTTAATAAGGGTATGTGTAAACTTACTCAGCAGTACAAATTTTACAATTTTTAGAATCATGATTGAGTTGTACTTTAAATAATAATCATTCTTTTAAAAAGACTGTTACAACTATCAGAGGAGAAGTGTACAAAAATTATACTTAAGATTCATCTTTTTATTGTCAAGTAACAATCCTATAAGACCTTACAGTAAATCAGAGGTGGCACAGCTAGCAAAACAAACCAGTGGGTTCTAGTGTTTAACCAGTGACCATCATAGCGCACAGACAATTTTTTTTGTTAGCTGATAATCCAGGCATGATTATGAATATTCAGACAAGTTAAGATTAACAAAAAAAGTTGCAAACACAATGTTTATGGTAATACCACACTGCAGTAATTCTTCTCTGGTAGCTTGTTGCACATTGTTCTTGGGCATTTTTAACAGGATTCCTCAAGTTCAAACTAGCAAGTAATAGCAGCACTTTCAGGAAATGTTTAAGTTTTTTAAAAATGATATCTTTATTTTCTTTGTTTCATATTAGGAAATTAAATTACTATAACAAACAACAACATAAAATTTGACAATATATGACAAATTCAAAAGACAATGCTTCCAGGAATTAGTTATATCTTACAACATACATAAATCTGTTGTTTACCATCATGGCTGGCACTTTTGCAAGTGAAATTAAAATACCCGGAAAACATATGCTATTGTCTAAAAAAGTTAAGTTCAAGCCCAGTCTTTTTCTATAAATAACTGACAAGTTTAGCCATGTACATCCAAAAGACATGCTTGACTGATTAAAAACAAAAAAATAATGACAGATTGCACAGCTACAAGCTGACATACAAGTCTGTTACTGAAACTACTAAACAATTATGAAAATAAAAATATGTCTATGGCATCCTTATTCAGAATGGATTTTAGATATTTCATTAACTCTTTCTATATAGAGCTGGTGGATTCCACCGATGTTGTAAACACAAAGTAACTATCAGAGTTTTCATACTATAACTTTTAATATAGTATATGTAACTTCATAAGTTTAGCAAGCTTTCAGTAAACAATACAAGTAGTTTATACAAAAAAAAATCTGTTTTTTTTTTTAATTAGGTAATTTTCCTAAAGATTTGTTTGTTAATATATGGAATCAGTATATACACTGCTCCTAGAGCAAGATGATTTTCAGGTTAAGATTATAAATGTTTTTCTTCATTTGAACATCTTCTAACTTCACTTACATAACCATTAAAACCTCCTAAATAAATAAATAAATAAATATCAAACATTTTCTTTTTCAGTAAAACTTTATATTTTATGTATTATTTTCTCTCCCCTAACTCTATATGGACTTGATTTGACCAGCCTTATAACCACCATAAAAAATAATAAATATATCTAAGTTACCCTTTTTTTCTATCTAGAACAGCTGCATATTGTAACAGAAAACTACAACTGTTTATCCCAAATAGCTTAAGGATTGTAACAGTATACATAGCTTTCTACTTAAGCTTATTGTTTTATTGCCCACTGAACCATGTCTAACTAATAATCCCACCATACAAGTAATAAATCACTTTGTGAACGTGTAACTCACATTACCATATTGAATGACATAACACACGAGCTACTTGCAAGCATATCTAGTGGAGAATGTTTTTATTATTTGTCATTATATTACCTAATCTAACCTAACAAGTTTCTAATTTTTCAATTTGTAACAATCTTTGCCATTGGTTGTCGATGAAATTTAAACCTAATTTTATGTAACGATAATACTAGTACGCTAAATTTATATTTATTTAAATAATGCACCTAAGAACACAATTATAACACACAAAAAGCAATCAATGTCCTATAACTATTAGAATTTAATTGGCTTTCTAACTAAGACAATTTCCTTTGCTGCTCAATTTGAACAACACAAGATAAACTTTCAAACTGAAGATGAAATTCACAAAATTCTTAAATGGAAACAATGTAGCATTATATATCATTTGATAGATTAAAACTCGGCATTTCTATTGGTTGTAAATGATATAGTATAATATAGTATAGTAGTCAGAGAATTTTTGACAATTTGTGAAAGAGAGGAAGTGACAGGCAGGTGTGGCATGTGGGTCTGTATTTCTAGTTTATGACTCCGTAAGCAAATAAGATAGAGGGATATATAAATTAGACTTTGCATAAGTAATATCTATATTACAATGTGTAACTTATGTTAAATTCCATACTTCAGAGTGTGGTGATAAATAAATTAGAGAAGGGGAAGTCCTGGAGAACAAATGCCACAATTCTCATATTAGGGGACTAAGGATTAGTTCAATATTTCTATATAAAATGAAGAACTTAAAACTTATGTAATATTACAATTTGATTTATTAACTATGTTTTGATGCCAAGTTTATTCGTATACATTTATAACAAAGTGGTTTAATTAGATTTTGAATGTAACTCTGTAAAAAGTTGCGACATGCACTTTGACTTACCCATCACAAAAGGGGTTACAGTGAGAATGATAAAATTTCAAGAAAAATTAAATTATCACACTATAAGTAAACATAAAAAATATGGATTTGAATTGAACTTTTCCACAGGTCTCCTCTATAGAACTTTATACCTATGGTTCTCAACCTATAGTACGTTGATCTCCAGGATTCTCTTAGCATTCCAAAACGGGTCAGCAATGGTAAAAATAGTTTCCATATTATAGTTAAAAAAAAAAAAGATAGGATGTTCATTCAATAACAATTGTTTTATTTGAAAATTTGATTAATTATTAAACTTATTTATGTCCATAAAGCTTTTATACACCATAGAATCAGCTTTTGCAGATATACATCGGAATATGGAGGGCACAAGAGATTGATTTGGTTGTGAAAAGATCCACAAGGATCAAGGCACTATATAAATAAAACCAATAAGACTTGAAAGTTTTTAAATCACTTACATACATTAACACTTGAAGCAATAATAGCCTACTGGTCAAAAGTACATTGGAAAAATACAGGAAAAAAAAGCAAAAAATGTTTTTATAAAAACTTGTTTACCTTTTTGAAAATTAACATGGCTTATCATAATCACTTATTTCTATTTAACAATTAATCATAAACTTATATAAGCATTTAAATGGTGGTTATATGATTTTCAGACCATTTACTAAAAAAACTATTTTGCTATCTACCTCTAAACTGATCTTCCTCTATCACATGTTCACGTATTTACATTAGTTCTTTTATATTCTTTTATTAGCTGCAAACAATTAGCCTTATCTGTCAGTGTCATCTAATTTCAAAATATTACGAATGTCTTTGCAAATATAGAATTGGTGTAAAATACACAAGAGCTGACAATGAAATGATAGACAAACTATGTGATTTGTGAACATATAAAATTCAATCCAATTTAATCAATATATGGCTTAGTTCTACTTATGCAAAACAGCTCAATTGTAGTACAAGCTTATTATCTCACAGCTGCAACAAAAGATAAAATAAATAAGAACTCTATCTAAAAGTAACACATTTACAAGACAAATATGTACCATTGACTAATCAATTATTAACATTCCTTGTGTATGGCATATATTGTAGTTAGGAGTACTTAACAAATCGTTACATGAAGCCTAAGAACATGGATTTTAATTTGCCTTGTAGAAGAAAAACACCATTTTTCAGCTCCCCAAGCCTTCATTATGTGTATTCAATAAATTAGCACCCCTACTAATTGGAAGTTTTTCAATAACATCTTGTAACAATATCTAATTTTGTGATTGTTTTTTTCTGATTATTCTATGGCGTTCAAGAAAAGATTTTATAGAAACTCACAATTTATTTACCACAGTCAAAAAACACCTAAGCACAGCACATGCAAATATGATTACCAAGTTATTCAAATGAAGAAAATTATATTACCAGAAAATTGTCAATTACTGCATTTGTTACTTTAAACTACTTGTAAAAAAAATTAATACTTCTTTTACAAGTTTTTCACTAGCTATGCAATGTCCTTGTACAGTATGTATACATTTTAAAAAATAAAATTTCCAGTGATGACAAACTAGAAAAAAATGTTACTAGCTGTTCCATAAATTTCACAGAAAATATCTGATAGGAAGTCTGCATCTGGTTTCATCCTACCGCTATAGGTAGTTGTTAATAACCAAATTAAACACAAATGCCCAAGCAGAGGGCCACATACACTCTTAGTATCAAAACAGGACAGAGTGTGCTGTCCTTACTCTGTACAGCAGACAGTTGGGGGGTTCGAGGGTCAGAGAGAGACGTTTGCTTGTGCTGTTACCTGGAAAAAGGACATCTGTTAACCCACTAGCTAGGAACCCAACTGGGTCCACCAAATAATATTGGTTAAGAATACAGTTTTATTCTACAAATAATCAATATGAAAATAATAATTAAAAGATCCATATTTTAAAAGAGTATTTTTATTTTACACAAGAAACTTGAATGCAAAATAAATCTTGATATTAACTAAAGCAACCCTCTCTTTTTAGATTTTGAAATGTTTAAACAATTACTTTATATAGATTGTACTGTAAATAAACAACAAAATGTCAAAAAATGAAAAATATACTACAAAACACAAAATCATTTAATTGTAAAATGATTTGTCATTCCTATTTCAAGTGAAACTTTAAAAGAAAATTTCCATAAGACTGCATAAGCTCTTTAAAATAGTTAATATTTTATGAACTCTAATATTTATGCTGTACTAACTTATTATTAATTAACTGAACCCTGCATTGTTACAAATACAAAAGACTAACAGGGTTTCTTTTATACGTAAACTGAAAATATCTAAAGAAACATTTTACAATAAGAATTTTTATTATATAATTATGTTGCAAAATAATTATTTATACATATTTGGAAGTGATATCTTTATTAATGTCTTTATAAAATAATGTACTATGTGAAAATTATCACATAAAACTAAAACAAAAATTTTAATATTATGTTCACAATCAGTTTCAAAAGCAAGCATTAAATTGCTTAGAAAATGAATCCAGTTGTAGTTATTTATACAAAAAATATGTTAACTAAAACTGTATGTTATACAGAAAACACTAAAAAAAATTATCAATTACTAATTGCAAAACAGATGTATTTCAGTCTTCAATAACTCAAAATAATAATAAATATAAGATCAAAAGCACAAGTAAATTAGAATAGGAAGTAAACTGATCATTGTACATTTTCATAATACTTGATTTTTTTAATATAAATCACAAAATAAAATATTTTCCATGTTGTTTCATTACTAAACAGCTTTCTACATTGTTTTCATTAAATTACAAAAAAATACTAACACTTTCTAACAGAAGTTCTTTAACTTCTACAACAAAAAACAAGAATGTTAGAAAGCATACCTCTATACATGCCAAAAAACCCTTCCGACTTGAAGGTTTTCCGGAAACAATCAATCCTGCAGATAAAAAACAAATACTAATTTCACTAATAAGAACTTGCTCAGACAAACCACTTTATTTATGCAGGTACATACTTGGAAGATAAAATTGTTACATTGTTAGTTATTAAACACAACTGTTAAACTTCATAACAGGTATAAATTAGTATTGAAAATTTAATTCCTGCTCAAAGGAATATGAATTGTGAACATACGTTTTTTTAATTAATTAGAAAAATAATGATAACCATTAATTTGTGATTACTTATTTCTCACCAATCAAAATTACAACAGTAAAATGTCTTCTTAGATGCTGGTTGTCTAATCTAATTATTTCTATAATTAAAAACATTGTACAATTTTAAGCTGGTCAGTAAAAGAATAATTTACAATGATGGGCATTTGAGTTGCATAGAAATAATACAAAACATAAAATAAAATCTTATTTATTATATTTTTTGCGATTTCTTTTTCCTGTCTCAAATTTGTCCTACTGTCCCATAATCCTGAGTAAACTCAGTATTATCATTAAATAATAATCACACTGAGCATCTCATTTACCCACAGATACATGGGTTTAGAAAATAATTATAGTTATAAAATATCATGAAAATTAATAGTTATAAAATATCATGAAAATTCATGAAATAGCTGTTAACGAGAATAAAACTATTCACTTGCAAATGTCATTACTGATACCAGTTTGTATGAAATGTTATATCCAATTTCTACCCCACTTTAAACACAACCAATTTTTTTAAATCAATTTTACAGATGTTAACATTATTTAATCTATTTTTGTTTTCTGTGATTATGCAATGTTTTGACTAAAAATAAGATTGAAAGAAGTACGTGTATATCAAATATAAATCTAGTAAAAATCACATGCACAATGTACATACTGCTCATATACAGAACTAGGCAATTACACTCAACTAATCTATTACTCTCACAAAGTAGCTTAAAAAATTCCTACAACAAAAATGCAAAATCTGTGTTTCAATTATTTTTTTGCTAAAAAGTTAAGTTGAAAAATAACTGTCTATTTATTATCTGAAACTTATTGCTTTTTTTGTGGTATTTTCGAAGTTCAATTACTGTTTCTGTTGAGAAAAATAGAAAAAAATGGTAACATTTAAACTGTACGAGAAAATGTAATCAAATAAAGTTAGATAGTACAAAATCTTCAGACATCATGTAAGGAAATAAAATGTATCTGTTGATGACTAGACTAATATTTTCATAGTAGAGGGTTTAAACCATAATAAGAATCATTTAAGTGTGAATATGCAACTGATTACTGTTAAAATATCTAAAGCTGGGCAATTAACTTGATTAACTGGATTACCTAAAAGCACCGACTGCATTAACCAGTGTAATGTATAATAAATGACAAATAAAAATTATAATTGATTAATGTCACAAAAATAAGCTAATTGAAATTTGTATTTTTGATTACAGTACTGCCTCACTATAAAGCTATCGGTTATAACACTTTCTCAGCTATAACGTTGTGATCCCTTGGTTCCCAAAAATTTAATATCATATGCTGCTTACCACATTGCCATGTGGCTTCAGAGGCTAAAGTCATTACACTTTGTGACAAAATAAGAGGAAAAAAAAAAGACAGGAAGTCCTAAGTGCATATGGGAAGGAGTTCCAAGAATTGTTTACTGGTGAAACCAAGCTACTGGTCATTGTCAGAAGGAAACAAAAATATCATGTCATTAATTGCAGCAGGTTTAGAGTAGTATTATGCCTATTCACTTTTGGCAAGATTTTAATTATCAATTGAAAGTTAATATTTTCTCACTACAAGCCTTGAACTGCTACCTAATTCCATGTGTATACCATGTTGTTCAGCTACATTTAAGCATCCAAGTTAGCATGTGACAACCCTCCACCAATGGAAGTGCAACACACCATCCTATTGTGTCTGACTCCCTCTATGCAATTGAACTCAATCTTTACTTCGAAATTAGGCATGAAAAACAGCACTTGAAGTAGGGAGGACATGTGGGAAGTGTGACAGGAGGTAAGTATATATCAGAAATACATTTTCCATGTAGGAAAATATTAACTTCCAATATGATTACTTACCTCCTCTCACAGTTACAGATAGAATCCCACACTGAGCAGGTGGAGGGACCAGTGTAAAATTGCCTAGATAACCACCCTTCAAAAGCATCTGAAAAGCACACATGGAGTGTGTTACCTCTATGTACAGAAAACACCCAAGGAAAACTGTACCACATCTGAACTAGGTAAACTCTTCACCTAAGTGGAGCCAACTGGTGTTGTGTCACAATCAAAGAGCAGATCAAGTGATCCATCCCAAATCCAAAGGAAGAGAAATATATGTGGAGTAGCTAGGGTACATTGGACTATAATCAGGAGGTTAACTCTATTCCACACCAGTTGCACCAGAAGGAACTCGACTGGCCACTGGCAGGAGGAGGGTCCTCAACCATTCAATTCAGGTGTAGGAACCAGAAGCAAAGAGGAGCCTTTGTTCCAAGAACCTAAACCAACATATGTGCAAATCCAACACAACCTGGAACAACAAACCCCAGGAATGTACAGCCAGACGACATCAGGAAAGTGGAAATGCAATGTGGAGGGTCAATTCCAGTCCAAAACTAATCAACATTGGGTATGTAACATCCAGTCTGTAGTAGGATGGTAGTAGGATGGAAGGTTCCCAGATGGAGGAGGCAAACTGCGAAATAGACAGAAAAATCCAGTCCAGAATGGTAGCATTGGGACTAAAACATCAGACCGCTCCCACTTTGGCAATCTAAGGAACATTAGAGATGGGTAGAAATCTCTTCCTGCTTTACTCATATTAGTCCATGAATAGTTAGTCTGGTACAAACATATTTATGGCACAATATATGGCAAGGAAGAACTTCCAAGTGGTCTTGTGGAAAACTCTATCTCAACAGTGAGTATGACAGACCTTATAGATCTTATGGTGCAGATTTTGGATACCAGTATACCTGGACAAGCACCACTCACCACATAATTAGATCCATAACATGTAAGGTAGCTCCCTGAAAAATATGGAGAACTGAAACAAAATAACTTACCCATTCAGAGGTGTACCGACATATGGAGAATAGCTACAGGAGAAGACGCAATCTGGCCGAGCATAAAACCATCTTATTATGTAAAGCAGCACAACACCAAGGTGTGGAGAGTAGTCCATATGCCAGCCTGGAGAATCTCTTCCAAAGAGCAACAGAAATGAGTAGCCAAGGACAGTAGGAGGTGACAGATCAGATGAGACAAGACACAGAACAATTGGCAAGGTTCAGGAGAAAGGAAGGAATACTCAATACAGATAACCTGATGAACCCAAGCAGTAAGGGTGATGGGAGAAATATCAAAAGAAATGCACCACATCCTGACAACAAGGCATCTGTGAAGACATGGCCATCCAGATGGGTGAAAGGAATAGGTACCCCCACTGTCTTGTTGTCCCTGAGATGAGAGTTGAAAAACACCACTAAATGGACAAGATACTGAGTGTGGTGGATAAAGGACTTCTCCACCTTGATAAACCAACCCACCCAATCAGCTTCTCTGCGGATAAGTTGGGTGCATGAGGAAGACTGCGGAGGATGGAGCCAGAAGAAGCCAGTCATCCATAAAATGATGGAAAATGAGCCCACAATAATGAAAGAATTGGACAAATAAACAGCCCACCTGACAGAAAGGAAGGGCTCAGAATTTATAAATGTCAAAAATGACATGAAGCCTGTACAATATTAACGTGAAGATAAGCATCAGATACATTGAATTTCTTCATCCAAAGCCCTGGAAGAAAAGCCTATCTGAGAGACAATTGGAAATCCCTGAAAGAATTGGACAAATGACCGGACCACCTGATAGAAAGCATAGGGTGCCAATGCCAGCCTCAAAAAGCTCAGAATTTATAAATGTGATTCTCATGGATGAAAAGTAGTAAATGACAATGAAGCCCGCACAATAGGGATTTGAAGATAAGTATTGGACAAGTCGATTCTCCTCATCAAAAGACCTGGAAGAAAAGCCCATCTGAAAGACAGTCAGAATTCCAATGTGAACAGAGGCATGTTGAGGAAGCAATTCAGAAAAGATAGACTGTTAATAGGATGCCAATCCCTGATCATCTTGGGGATGACAAAAAGTTGGGAAAAGAATCCTGGGAGCAAAGGAGAAACCTGTCCGATGGTACGCTTGATTAGAAGGGCTTTAACTGCTTCTGCGAGACCCTAGCAGGAAAGGGGGATCCTAAGGGGGGAGAGAAAAGATAGGAGGTGTGAGAAAAAGAAAGGAGAGTCTTTCTGACAAAACTAATGATCCAAGGGTCAGTGGTAAGTCTCCCATAAGGCAGTCACTGATAATGATGACATTATACAGGACGTCGGTGAACAATGTTATGACATGTTGACATGGCCCAAGAAGAAGGAACCAGTAAAGGAGAGGAAGGAGGAGGGCATGAAATGGGAATTGGAGGAGATTGGGACAATGGTAAATAAGGGAAGTATGCTATCTAACAGATTCTACACAAGACTCCAAAGTATCTCAAAGCCCACCAAAGATTGTAGTTTTCAGAAAACGGGCTGATCTAAGATGTCACAAGGAAGTCGAGAAGGAAAAGTGCTAACAAAGCATCTCAACTTAAGAGATCCCAGCAACACAGGAGCTAAGTATGGAGGGAAACAGCAGATGAAGACAATCTGAAGAAGTTGGTGAGTAGGACAGTACAAGCTTCTGCCAAAAACAACCTTGGGAGAATGATGGAAAGCCTCGTACAACAGTGAATGGACAACAAATAATGGAGTGTTGTGAAGGAGAAAAGGAGGAGAGCAATTTACATTTGAGAAAAATAATGAAGTATCAGGGCCCGAACTCCTAAGAGTAAGAACTGAATCGAATTATTGCCCATTCAGAATGGATTTGCTGAATGATGATGATGAGTCTCTGCAGTATGTGGAGGGTGCACCACACTAATCCCCACAGGTAAGTGATTTGCAAAACATACAGCATGGAGCCCAATATCAAGTGAAGGGAAGAAATCAAAAATTCGGAACTAGGTGCTACATTTAATAAGGAAGGGGGGGGGGGATCAGTGACATGGGTGAAAAAGTCAAAATACAACATACCCGTGATATCAAATCTAAAAATGGTGACTGGGGTCTAGGTGCTTCAACAGGAAGAGAACATGCCTGCACAGCAAAGGAATGGGAGGTGGGGGGAGCTGTTAAAGTCTGTATAATATAATCCTGATCAAAGTCCTCAAATAATGGTAGAATTACTTGTAGATCAGGAGATCTATTGACCCAACGTGAAAGAAGCCATCTCCCAACGAACTACAGCTGACAATTCCTCTTCCGATAATGCTTCACTTGCAGCCATTGTCACAGGCTGTTGAGTGCCAGTACCATCAGTAACCATTGTAGTCATAATATTAAGTTGGGAAATTCAAAAATAATGAATGACTACTGGTAACTGAGTGAGAAATAGAATTCACAATCACATAAAAAAATCCAACTCTATGGTAGATTATAAACAATACTTTAAAATGTAAAAATCAGTAACTGAATATTTTAAAAATTCACTAAAAGGAGAAAAAAAAAATGACACTAGGTCTTAACACTGTCGTGCCAAATAAAGAAGTGAAGAATGGGTTCAACTGCATAGAGGGAATTAGATACAATAGGAGAGTGTGATGCACTCTTATCGGTGGAGGATTATCATATGCTAATTTGCATGCTTAAATGCAGCTGAACCACATAGTATACACATGGAATTAGGTGGTAGTTCAAGGGTAGTGGCAAACAAAAATTTGAGCACTAGAGGGCAGTCAAATTAAGAATATCTGTAACTGTGAAAGGAGGAAGTAACCATATTTGAAATGCTAATTGTTTTTATCTTATATTATTGGATCTTATTTTACCTTATCTGTGTTCTTTTTATATCTATTTTTCCTATGTAAATAAATAGTAGTTTTCTTTATTTGATTGCTTTAGTAGTCTGTTGAATTGATACTTGTTCAGCATGTCTTCTTGACTAGTAGGTTATAATGCCCCCCACCTATATCACTCTCAAGTGCACATGACTCCTAATGGTAGCATTATAATCAGGCAGTACTGTATTACTATTTGATTATACCAATTATCCAAGTCTCATGTGAGAATAATCAATTAATGAACCTTACAATTAATCAATTGGCAAATACCACAAAGCACCCAGCTTTAATCACATCTGATCTACATTTCAAGAAATTTCTACTCAAAGTGAACTAACACATGGAGGATTTCGTCTATATGTACACCACCAGATCAACACAAATAAGCATAAACTAGTCTGCAGAAATAGTAAAATATCCAAAAACTATTTACATAACAAAACAACATTTTGAACCTAATCACAAAAAATAAATTTATATAATTTGTGTTACTGGAAAACAAACTTCTAGGGAATTCAGTGATAGCTGTACACACTACTACAATAAAACTTCTTTAGATTTATGAAGAATTAAAATTTCATGCACATTTTACTCCTTGTATCTATATATGTTTATTATGAAAAATATAATACATAATTTTTAAGTATGATAAAATAAATAACATTTGTGTATCTTGAGATTAATAAAGTCCCACATCTCTAAAATGTGAGAATAATGCAACTCAAGATAGATCACTGCAAACATATAAAAAGAAATATATTTCTTTCACTTACATTGATGTATATAACTGTTGGCCATTTGGTCCAACTTGTTGATTCTGAAGACGAGTCTTAACTAGGTCTATTGGGAAGACACAAGTAACACCAATAATTCCTGCAATACCACCATTGACGATCTTTGGTATCAGGCTACAAAACAGCCAATTTTGGTTAAGATATACACATGTAGAAAGAATTAGCAAAAACAAAATCTGTCAGTAATATTATTTTACAACCATTAGAACCATTTCATGATATGAGGTATTTAGTAATTTTTATTACAGTGAAATGTCTATTCACCAGGATATAACAAGTGTAATATATTACTGTGAGAATGATAATCTTATATACACAAGTTTTCAACAGTGTTTATAAAGTTAGTTTTTTATAGTAATCATTAACCTCTTTTGCAGTCTTGCTTTTTAAAACCAACAATGATTATACCAATTTTATACAAGCTTCATAATCAAATTGTCAAAGTCAACAGAAACATAAAGCAGACTAGTTATGCAATACATAGTAACAGCTCATTATTAGAGAAGAACTTAATGTCAGAGAAACTGAATAGTTTGGTCTTTGTCTTTATTTCAACTGTGACTAAAGAAATTTTTGAACTTGCACAAAATGTTTATTCCTTTGATCAAATTTACATTCCAACCACAGCCTATTACAAACTGGATGAACAATGTAAACCAATTATTGGTAATTAAAAAACATGAAATGTAGAAGAGTATGTAAATTTACTGTTAAACTGGAATAATTATAATTAAAAATGCCTAAAACAAAAAAAATAGAAACTGTTAAGGCAAAGAGTAACTAAGACATTCTGTTAGATAAAAAAAAACTAACTTTGGTGTGAAGGCTTTTAATCATGCTCATGTAAATTGAGAATGAGAGTCAAGGATAACATGCTCTTCAAAAGATATCCATGGGAACTTAAGAGATAAAGAAACTGTGATTGAGAAATCCAACAACATTTTTGCCAATGTTATACTAATCAAGCAGAACAAGTGATTTCTAAATTGATTAATACTTTTAAAGCTAAGAAAAAAAATTCCTTAAATTCTACTTTGATGAAAGAAAAGCAGTTTTGGAATAACATGAAAAATTTTGTTATAAATCTCATCTCTAGACTGGTAGATGTATCAAAAAATTACAAAGCAATCCAAATATATGAAATTAGCTAATTACTAATGACACTATTTTAAGACTTCAGTTAAGAACACAAGGCATACTAATCATCAGTGACTAAGTACAAAGAAATATTAGCTATCTTCAAAAACAATTATCATGCTGTTGGCAATCACCCAAAAAAAATAGCTACAATTCTAATCTGTTAACACAGATTAGCCAAAACAGAAATAACCAATACAAATGTACAAGTCACACTACAGAATTTTCACACTACATTTATGTTATATTAATCAAGACAAAACTATTTATAACTTACTTTTAAATTACACATATTAAAACTGTACAGATCAGTAGTATATTTCCTCATTACTTTTGGCCTGATTCCAGAACCTCTGTACTGCCTTGGGCTATGGCTGCCAAGGCCACCAAATATTTATCCATTGTATTCCACAACCCTCACTGCCTTGGGCTTCAACATTATCATTATATGACCTTCATTATTACACATTAAATATAGCAAATTTTAATTAATTTCCAAGTTTCTGTTCTATAGTATCTGTACTAATATCTATATAAATCAAGCTTCTTTTAAATAACCACATACTTAGGTTACATATTCAAGCAGAATATGAATTAAAAACTTCTGTCTACTTCAGTACAAAACTCACAATTTCTGTGCTAACTTGTACATTTTCTATTGTCTAGCATTAGTCTCTACTTTACTGCATGTAATTTACAAATAAAAATTTTCATTATCTTGGTAACACTGAGGCATGGAGCCAGTAACAGTCACCATATTCTGCCTACCATTTGCCTAGTTATTACAATTACCTTCCCAAATGTATCTATTTTCCATAACTTCTTATTCAAACACATTTGGGAATGTTGTTCCTCTGGTTTAAACCTAACTCATAACATTTGAAAGACAGCACTGTCCCATTCACTTCATAACACCTATCTTTCTATATCCAGTCATGAGTTCTTAAGTGTTGAACACTGAAGATCAATAAACTCTTCTAATTCTGTTGCATCTACCATGCCTGAAGTCAATCTATTTCAATTCGATCAGGTCTCCTCTAACCCTCCTTTTTTTTTTCTGAAGAGAAAATAATTTTAAGGACTTTAACCAAGAATAATCATAGTAACCTTCCTTTATATCCTTTACATTTCAATTTCCTTTTTAAGGTAAGAAGCCCAGACTGAACACAATACTCCAAATGAGGACTAACCAGGGATCCATACAAAAAACAATGAGGAGCAACTAAATGATAGATTCCATATCTTTGCTAGTTACAGTAAAAATGGTAAGCATTATTATTATTATCATATGGTCTGAAAAAATTTCCAGAACTTCATGTCAACCATGATTACCTTTATTTAGCAGCTATTTGCATGTGGCCTGTGTGTTTCGACAACTTGGGTCAATAAATAACAAAGTTTTCTTTATTTGCTAGAACTAGCTACAGTTAACTAGCATGATGTGTACTTTTTCTTTTTCTTCTACAACCTTCAAAACATTTTAGAAGCTGCCCATTAATGTTACTTTACAAACCTTTTACCCACTCCTTTGACCTTCATGATCAACTCGTTTCTATTGAACTGTATCATTCATCACAAGATTTAAAGCAATGAATTGCAAATTAAATAATATAATAATTTGATTATTTTCTTCAATTAAACATTCTTGTTTCTGAAACATTTAAAAATATTCTGGCTTTGACATTTTAGATTTCACTCAAAAGGTTAACTCACAAACTGGGAAATGATACATTAAGTCATATTCTGACTAATCGTACATGTATGTCTGTGGTTTTCAGTTACTCAATATTACTGAAGTTTTTACATCATATACATTTCACTTCTCATGAAAACTTAAACTGAAAATAAATAAATATACACATATATATATATATATATATCAAAAACTTTCTTAAGAATACTTGGTAAGTTTTCAAAATTTAGTTCTTATAGTTTTTAAATTATTTACATAAGCTTTTCATGATAACCTAAAATAAGTAGTTGGAAAATACAAAATACCTTTAGATACACTGTCTTTAACCATCCAGCCCCCTCTGACCTTCACTCAGTAACGTAATACAAAATAACACATCTTAATGCAACTTGTTAAATTATATCACTTTGTGTTTGAAATATTTCCACAATTTTATTACCTTTTCATGTAAAATCAATATTTAATTTCATATAACAAAAAAAGCATCAAACTGTGAAATAAAACCTTTTAGTCTTACATATTTACACTATACAAGATTCACAAATGAATTACACGTTACATCTTAATATTTTTCTATTCCAATGATAGTTGTATCTTTACATACTAAAAGAAAAACAATGTACAGCTAAATTTTCAATAACTATGACTCACATTTTTATTTTTATTATAGTAGACATTTCCCCAAACTACGAAAAAGAAAATAAGCTTCCAGCCTCTTTTTTTTATTTGCTTAAGTCTTTGCATCGTTGACCATATGCGATTAGCCTAAAAAATCTGTTAATGAAGTCGGTTTGGATGAGTTCTCTAAGTTGTGAAGTACTGAGTCTGAAGTAGGCATAACCTTGATTTTGAAACATAAACAGTATTTTAAAAGCCAAAAACCCTGTATTAGTATACCTAATCCTACTCTAATCTCACTGACTTGTCTCAGCACTACTAGCACTAGTAGTACTCACTAATAGCTTAGTATTTACAATCCTGATAGTGATAATAATATTGTGTGATAAGCTTCAATTCCAAATATTAAAATTACGGAATAATACTAATTATGAATGATTAACAGTGATTATACTTACGAAAACTCATCTCTTTTAGTTTTAAGTGCCATTACAGAACTTCCTTTTTCGAAATCAGTCAGTGGAGGTCGTCTTTCCTAATGTACTTATATTTATGAAAACAATTTTCTAGGACTAGGAGAAGTACACAACCTACAATTATCAAACGTACTTGAAAGTGGTACAACTGGCCTTAATATTAACAATGCTACTGTAGCCTTGCAGACATGCGCATCCTTCTGGTCACGCATAAACAGTGTTTGTGACGTCACATACGTTTTCGTGTTTGTTTTACTTTATTTCATAGTATTTTTTCTCCCTTGAGCTCTATGACGTAATAAATAAAGAATGGCCAGAAAAAATTACTTGACTTATTAAAATTTCAGTCGTAAAGACAACAAAATATGTTTACAATGATCAATAACATAAAAAACGTATATTTTATGACAACAATTTGAGATTCTGTTTCATCTCGTTTCTTATGGGGTATTCTCACATAAACCGATTTTCACGCAAGTATCACATAGGTCCGCTTCATAAAGGGAGGACCAGCACAAAATTTGTGAAGTCATCTGAATTTCACTAAACAACTGAATTCTAAGTTGTGAGAAATTACGAGACGGGATACGTGTTGGAAAGTGTAAAACAATATTTACTATAACACAAAACAAACAAACAAAAAACAGTACGCGTACTTACCGACACTTAAATCGCCTTATCGCTGTATTGTTGAATGGATCGACGGTTTTTGTCCCCCGATATAGATTTCTGTAGAACAATTCATTTCGTGAAACCAAGAAGAACTAACTACAATAAAGGAGTATATACTAGACTCAGACTTGTTGTGCCGAACAACAGAGAGATGGGGGAATATAGTCAGTGTACCACAGATAGTAGAACCATGCAGCTTAAAAAACAAAGTTATGAGCACTTACCATGATATACTATTTGCAGCAAATTTAGCATTTGCAAAAGGAGATAGCAAATTAACTGAAATGTCCTAGACCGTGATAATGCCAAAGCCTGTTGGCATGCGCCACCTTTGGCTTACCTCGCCAACCACATTTTATTCGGAAAGTCGCGTCTGAGAGACGATCCACTATGTCATATGGGCCTTCCCATGGAGAAGACAACTTAGGAGACTTTCCTTTGGTCTTCCTGGGATTATACAACCACACCTTTTCTCCTGGTACAAAGCTGACTTCAGTGACTTCTATCATACA